GAGGTGAAGCTGCGTTTCGTAGCCCGAGTGGGTGAGAGGAGCGCTGTGCTCCTCTCCCCGCTGTGGGTGCCCTTAAGGAAGGTGGTTGTGTGAGTTAAGCGAGTGTGGTCAGGTGACACTAAGACGCAAACCCGCATTTATTGAAATTTAAAGTGGTGCGGAGATGCTGAAGGATAAGTAATTCGTATTCCTTCTGTTCACTGCCCGAGGCTGGAGACTCGAAGGTGCAGCAGCACTGAAAGCATTGCTGTGCTGAAACTTGCTGTAGTGCTGCTCAGTGCGATGCGAGAAGAGGTTTTGTGGGGTGGCAAGAGGTAACCTCGCTGGCATGGATGAAATGTCCTGAAAAAGTTGGTGTGAATCACTTTGGTTCCAAACCACAGCTCGTTTGGAACAAAACAAAGGAAACTACTTCGAGCAAATCAGAGTTTTTTCTTTTTGATGTGCCCCTTCCCGAATGCCTGATACAAGCAAGTGAAACAGTGTCTTTAAAAAAATTTAAGGCGGTCTGTTTGAAATATTTATTGTCAACGTTACTGGCTCCTTTCTTGCAGATGAGAGTCATGCTTTTAAATAGCCACTGGCATTTGATTAGAGTAATGGATTTGCAGTTAATCTCAAAAACTGGATCCACCTGTCATGGGACCTGATTACTGTCAGCTCTAGTAATATACTGTCACTACCAAGAACAGTCTTGCAACAACAATTTGTTGCTCTGTGGTTTGGTTTAGTGCTTGGGTTTTTTACTTTCAAAACTCATTTCAGCATACATTCTGTACTGTGCAATACTCCCACTTTCCATCGTCGAGACTAGTACTGTGCCCTATGAACAGTTTTGGTGATTTCAGCAGTTACTCTAAACAGGTTGGTGAAATTCGGTTGTGGGTGTTCTGTTTATCTGTGTGGGAGGTCTTTGTTGGGTCATAGATCCTAGTTTCTATTTTAATTTGAGAGTAGTCTGTTTAGCATGTGATTATAAAACTTACAGTAATGCATAATACTGGCACAGAAGTTGTGCAGGTGATTTGCTGACACTCGTTACATTCTGAAATGTAATTCAGACAACTAAAATAATACAAAATTGTTGCTAGTGCTTAAAACACCAGTAATGTAGTAAAAGAGAAAACTTGCTTAAATCATTTAGTACTTGTTCAGTTTTTCAAAATCTACACAAATTATAGATTCTGTCAGGCTATTCTATTTTGTCCTCTATTTGTCCCTTGCTTTAATCCTTCCTTAATCCTGCGTGAAGAGATTATGGCCAGTATGTCATTAAGTGTATAAACCAAGCTGTTGTTTACAGTAGGATTTCTCTTTCCAGTTTGGTAGCTGACTGTTATGGCAATTTTACATTTTAGAGCTTCATATCACTGAGGAAATAATATCATGTAAGCCTTAGGATGAGAAAAGACACTTCAGAAGCTTCTGTTAACCAGAAAAGCTCACTTTTCCTCAGGTTGGTACAAAAGAGGAAACTGAACTGCACATTTGAAAAAGAAAATATAGAGGGACCACTGGGAAGAAATTGCACACCTGAGTTAGGTATATGTGGTGCAAAGTACAAAGTGTGCAGAAGTCTGTTGTTGTGAAACGTGAATCTCTAGAGCATTTATGTTCTAACTCATCATGCTCTGTAGTTCCAGTAAAAGTAAAAGAAGCTCCCAACCCTGATGTCAGATCAGGCCGATAAATGCAAATACTTGGCAGCCTCATTTATTCTAATCAGTGGATTTATTCTAATCAGTGGATGGTGGCAGTTAGTCTTTCAGGATCCAGGGCTGTACTTCTTGGTCAGCAAAACCTGTGTCATCCTCCAGTGTGTCTTACAGACTGTGCCATAACATTGCTGTAAAATTACCTGATTAGTGTCCCAAGAATCGTCTGGGTTTTTAGATACTTGTATATGAAAGATTAGTTCTCTTAAAAGCTGGAGAAGAGCTTGAAGCATGATACCCCTGCAGTCTGGTTTTTTTCACTGCGTTTGCTTAGTTTTCAGTTGATGATGTCTCACTATAAGAGTTCCCTTGTTTGCCCTTTTTTTGGTTAACTGGTAAGCGCCAAGACAACTCTTATGAAAGAGCCATTAGTGGCATAGCCTAGTCCATGAGTGTGGAGGTGAATGTATGCAGTGAGTGTGATGGTACATAGATGTCGTTGTCAGGGTATGTTGTTTTCATACCTCTTTTTTGTGCATTTCCATAGAGCAGATTTGACACTTCCATTTGATGTATTGAAGGAATGTGTGGACTTTTCTGTACTTTACTCAATTAAGTGTTGTCATACTCTAAAAATTCCAGTATACGGCAGAAATGGAATAAGGCAATAAAATATATTACAAAACAGATAAAACGCACAGTTGGGTCTGTGATATATTATATTATATAGGACTTCTGGAGCAAAGAAGCACTTTATGTGATGCTGTTTCAGGTATAAATGCCAAAATACTATAATTGGACAAAAGGGATAATTGTAAAAGCATGTGATTAATATATACCCCAAAGAAAATCACTTGGAAAGCTGATAGGATTTAGGCATCAAAATTAGGGTACTTAAAGGTCAAAACTTGAGGTTTGTGTCTGGATCTGGGTCTATTTATTCCTAATACAGAGGTTTTCTTCTTGGTTTTTTGGTTCACTTTGTTGGAGAGAAAAAGTTTGGGCATGAAATGTGTGCGAGTTCTCCAAATTTTTTATGTAACTCTGGGAGTTCCTTTACACAGCAGGCTGGTGTACTTGAGAATGTGTTGTTCACACTTCTAAGAGGCTAATTTTATTGTTGAATTTTGCCAGGCCTGTAAATCTAGGGCCTGAGACTTGTTATCAGCTGAATTTGACTTCCTTAATATGTTTGGACAGACCAACCTGTAGCTAATTCTGGCATAAGGATAAGGACTATAGAGTTGCATCTGAGTTCTGCATCTCCTATAGAGGTAGGCTGACTGTGTGTTCCTATTTATTTGAGCTTTATTTTGTATGTTTAGACAGCAGAGGCAAAAGGTAGAGATAATGCTGTTACTGGGTTAGCCAGCAGTGGTTGGTTTGTGTTTATGCATTTGGGTTACAGCGAGTAAATGGTACAGAGATAGGCTGTTAGTTTTTTCTAGACCTGTATAAATAAGTGGATGACTTCTGAGTTTGCCTCAGTGCTTTAACTTCAGTTTTTAAGACAGTGTATAGAGTCCAGCCAGTGCTCAAATTAGAATTAGGATTTGTGTGTGGGACCTATGGGAACTAGCCATCATCTGAAGCCTTGGTGATGGATAGTACTGTGTATAGTGAAAGCTGAGGTTCAGATTCAAGTTTGGATCAGGATTTAAATTAAGATTTACATATATTCAAAGATGATTCAACACTCTTCAATGTGAATTCTCTTCCAAATGGCAACTCAGATTTAGTCTTCCATAACAATGCATGTGAGCTCTCTACTTCTTTTTGCAGGCCTTGCAAAACTGAAGAATAAACTTCAGACATTGTTGTGCCTAAGAATCATGTGATCTTCCGAGCAAGACATCCAAGCACATTTATAAGAATTCAGTTAACCTTGGCAAAGCATGCAGCAGTTATGTCGCTGCTTCACCTCTTCCTCAGTAACTTTCAAGCCTGCTTGAACTACCAATCTAAAGCATTGTTCAGACCCTGGGTTTACCATAGCGTCCTCTGCAAAATCTGGGTTCTTACCTTTTCCAAAACTTCAACCCTGACTTTGTTACAGGTTAGGAAGTTGCTGCTGTCTGCAAATTAAGAATAAGGAGTTCCATCAGAATATATCAGCCTTAAACACTCTTCTCTAGTTCTAGGGAATTATGACAGTAATCTTGACTCTCCAGTTTCTGCTTACTCTAACCCTAATTGTACACTAGGCACCTTCTGTGGTTTGAAGGACTTAAAGGAACTAGTTATATTGAAGCATTCTATTTAAAGAACACAATAGAGATCTGGGGGGTGTTATTGTTTGACACAAATAGTAGTGTCTCTGTCCTAAAATTATGTAAAATTACATAGTTTCCTTTTTTTTTTTCCCCCTAAGGACCTATGTGAGAATGACCGTGTTCTTCTCTCTCTTAAACTTCTTATCTGGATCTCGAAGTAGCAGTAGTTTGGAGGAGACCAGTGAATAACCTGCTCTGTTACGAGAAGCATTCACCAACATAAAACAGTCTGGAAGAAGATTTCGTTAAGAAAATCAAAGAGCATAGAATCCTTTAATAAAACTGAAGACATTTAGAATTTCATAACGTTTTTGGCTATCTGGGTCTTAAAAAAATGAACCGTTACACAATTATGAAACAACTAGGTGACGGCACCTATGGCAGTGTGTTGATGGGGAAGAGCAATGAGTCAGGAGAACTTGTGGCTATCAAAAGGTATGTAGCATCTCAGTTCAGTAAAGGTACTTGAAAAATCTGAAAGATTTTCACTTTTAACTTTATTGTTTTCCATTTGTGTATACTAGAATAAAATGTCCCTTTCTTAAAAGGAAATTAACTTAACAATTTTTTTTTAAATGAAGATGTTTAACAGGTGATCATGGGTCAGACTTCAGCTAACAGATCAATAGAGAGACACATCAGTTTAAGTTACAGATTTATCTCTGCTTATAAAATTGCATGCTGCATTTATTCAGTTTGAATAATCTTCCTTCTAAAAATGTTGTTAGGCTAACACCAAAGGAGAAGCAAAACTGAATGTGCAGTTGATTAAATAGGGAGTTTATTTATATGAATTGTAAGAATACTGATCTTAACAGGTAAATTTGAAATACCTTCCCTCCCATCCAGCCCCAAATCTTTTTAAGTACTGCATTAAGTTTCATGTGTTGCTACAGTGATAAATTCCAGGTAACAATCTGGTCAGGTAAATAAAGGCTGTCTCCTTGGATCTAATAAAGTTGTGTTGTGCGTAATCATGTCATACTTGCCTTAAAAGATGATTCCAAACCCACAAAATTTGTATCAGGACTGAAGAAATTCCCCTTGTATCCCTATAGAATTGCAAGCAGGATGTAAAACATAAGTTGAAATACCAGAAAGTGTACCTTGCTGAGACATTTTCTCTCATGGGTTTGCTGCAGTAAGATAATCATAACATAATTGACTGACTTTTTCTTAAAGATTTTCTGAGAATTTCAGGTTTTTAGTCCTGTTACCAAAGTTAATACTATCAAAGGTTAAAAAAAAAATCTCCAATTGATTCTTTTAATTTGTCAGCAATTTGTGGGAAGTGTTTTTCATTCTCATGGTTTCAAGATTTGGAATCTTTTGTGTAATTTTTAAGTTTTGGATTTGAGAGGGGACAGTTCTGGTGGAAGATACATTTATTTTAAATTAAAATCTTGGGTTTAAATCTCTTTGCTGTAGGCACTAGAACTTTACAGAAACACAGCAATGACATTCACAACCCGGTCCCAAGGTCTGAGCAGCACCAAATATCCATGTTTGGATCTATGCAAGATTTGCAAATAAATGTATTGCACTGTTATACATAACAATTAGTTTAGAGATGTATGTATGTATAAGTGTTGCTTGAAAAAATGAAACTGTTTTTATCTGGTAATTAATACCTTGAAACAGATTTGTAAAATGACTGGTCAAATCAGATTCTTAATTATAATAGTAAGCAGTCAAGATGCTTTGCAACTTAAAAAAATATCATTTTCTTGTTTCCCTAGAATGTGCAACTTAGGCACAAAGATGTGATGTTCCATGGTTTATGTGCAGTGTCATTGTTGTTTTCCTTATCATTAAGGGCACAATTCAATGATGGACAGGGGTTTTGTCTCCCTTGTACCTTGGAGTATCATGGTCTCTGGCTGTACTCCTCTAAAAACATATTTGAGTGTTTGATGATTAATCACTGCAGATTTCTAGCAATTCCATGTGTTGAGTTTGGTTATAATTATGTTGTTGATGGGTATCCTGGAATGTTTTAAATAGAGTGCTAAATGCAACTAATGCTACACTTGGAAAATAATATGTTCAGGATTTTTTGCTCTAGAAGCATTCTGTATTGTTCACTGAAAATACTTTATCTTGGACTTGTATTTCAGAATGAAAAGAAAGTTCTATTCATGGGATGAATGTATGAATCTGAGAGAAGTCAAGGTAAACTGGTGAACATGCCACATTTAAAAATATGTTTCTGGTTAGGATTGCATGAATGAAAAGGGCAGCAGCAATGTCCAAGCATATGGCCAAACTCTGAACTCTTTAAGTGGTGACAGATTCCACAAAACCCTGTGCTGCTGGTGCTCATAGAGCTGCTGCTGCTGTGTGGAATATCCCACAATTCTCAAGCAGTGGCCATGTCTCACAGCCAAGCCTCTTATCTTTGAGAGAAGTTGTATGTGTGTATTTCTGTGGTTTACCATCCTGCTCTTTCATTTTAATTGCAGATTTCTAGGTGTATATCTATTCCTCATATCTTGTATTTGGGGCATTTGTAGAAAGGATGGGGAGTTTTGGCTAGCAAAATGATAGAGTAACACTTGAAATCCTAGGTTTAAATTCCAAGTTATTCCATGTTTTGGGCATCTGATTTTCTGTGTATACAAAACTTCCTAACAAAGGAGTTGGATTTCCATAGTTTAGATTTCACATAATTTGCATCTCCAAAAGGGACATCAGTAAGAGAATCCTTGTTCATGAAATTTTCATGCCAAAAAAAAAAATAAAATGAATGCAAGGTTTTCTTACTCAGTTCAATGAGCAAGAGCTGTTGCAGCTTCAGATCTGTCTTTCATTGTAAGGAATTAGGGTTTTGTGCTAATCTTCACTCCAGCTATGATATAATCCCTAGAAATAGATTTAAACTACTGTTTACATAATTACTGCTTTTATTTTTAAATCAATTTAAACTGCTGTCTTGTTGTTCTTCGAAACAGAGATTACAAGATAAATATCAGATAAGTATCAGATGGACATGTGTTGTGGATTCTGTGCTAGAAACCTACATGTTTAAAATTTAGCTCTGACAAGGAATCAGGGTCACTGTGCAGTTATCTGAAGCCATACTTTGCTCTGTTGCAGTCTCTGAAGAAGCTAAACCATGCCAATGTAATAAAATTGAAAGAAGTCATACGAGAAAATGACCACCTTTACTTTGTGTTTGAATACATGAAAGAAAATCTCTATCAGTTAATGAAGGATAGGTATGTATTTTCTCACAGAACAAGTAGTGCTATCATGCTTTACTTAATGATTCTTATACTGGCTTGAAGAACACATTGGAATTTCTGGTTTTGGCTCTTCCTGCAGCCCCACTGATGTGAACAGGAGTTGCTGCACCTGCTTATCTGAGGGTAGAATTCTGCATTGCTCATTACAATATTGCAGATTGTAATGCTTTTGGAAATAACAGTTTGATCAGTTGTTAACACGATAGTTTGCATGCCTTTGGTGTGTAGAGCCATGAGAGAAATTCCAAATGTTTTATTTTTTCCTTCTTCTTTAATAGCCTTCACTATAATGTATGATGGATTGGATAAACACTGCTTGCTGTGCTTTTGCTCATGGACTTGGCTTAAGGTGGGGATGATCAATCTGCATGTATGTGCATGCACGCTCATAAGTCCAGCCTATATATAGACTACCTCTGATGTTGCAATCTTGGGCAAACAGTGCATAGCAAGGCTTGCAAGGTGGACTTTGGAATAGGACCTGCCTTTTCAGTAACATTTTTCTTTGCTGCATTCTTTTGCCCTTAATGTGCATTTCCTTAAGACTTTGTCATGCACCTTTGTCTCCTAATCTCTTGGGTTCACATCCTGAGATAGCCACTAGTGATATTGGCACAATGTTACTCAGCAGCTAAGCAGCATTGCTCTCAATCAGGGTTCCCTTAAGGGTACCCCTGGGTAACACACCGACCACAGTGCTGTGCCATCTCTGCCCTGCTATATTACTGTGCATTCCATGTTCATCTGGCCGAGCACACTGCTGGCCAACCCAGGGAGAGAGAGAATCATGAACCTCTCTGCAGAGAAGTTCCTCTACAGTACTTCAAATGAGGGAAGTTAAGGCCTGATGGAGTTTTAAGATGGGAGCTAGTTGCATCTGCCTCACTTTGTGCACAAGACTTGATGGGTCTGTTTTCATCTGTTCATGATGTGCCATGCAAAATGAAAAAACACTGTTCTGAAGATACATTTTTTCTTAATTATGTGAAGTTGTTACTCTATTTCTTTGCAGAAACAAGTTGTTTCCTGAGTCAGTCATCAGAAACATGATGTATCAGATATTACAAGGGCTAGCTTTTATTCACAAACACGGTAAGTTTCATACTAGATTTTAACTGTGTAGCACTTTTTATAGAAAATAAGATCATGCCCGGAAATAACATGAATAAAAATATCTAGCACAACTGTGTAGCACTTTTTTTAGAAAATAAGATCATGCCCAGAAATAACATGAATAAAAATATCTAGCAGAGGCTATTAACTATCTCTAATAAAATTATTCTAATCTGTTTTATGTAAGGTGCTATTTTAAACCATGCCTGAAGTTATTCTGTGTTTTCCTATAATCAGATTTTCTTCTTTGTTTTGGAAAGCATTGCCTGTTGTTCATACATTGTTTAGTATTTACCTTAGTTACCAGATGAATAAACAAACTAAAGAAACTTGTGTACTGTGCTATACTATACACTTCTGCTTTCTCAAAAAGATCTAATCAAAGACCATTGATACACTGATACTCTTGTCTTGAGAATCTATAGCCAATATGATACCCTACACATAAAACATACTAAAACAACTTGTTCACTAAGAAATTCAGACAGTCTCCTTGTCAAGTACAACCTGTTAGGATTTAAATATTTTAATAGATGAGGTGTTTCTAGGAATTACAAGCACAGTCTAAATAAGAGGTGCAGTGTGCTCACAGCACTTACAAAATTTTCAATGCTCATGTTTCAGTCTGCAAACTGCATTCTGAAATACCATTATTAAACTCCTTTGCATTTAAAAGAGTAGTAATTTACTCTCATGATCAGCTTTTTTTATTTCATACTTGTCCTTCACATCACATTGGTATTCTAAAAGCTTTCCAAAGACAATAAAATATTAGCTGAAAATGAAATAAGAAACAGTGTTCCCAGTGAGATCTGATTGGCTTTCATGTACCCTGATGAGGCCTGTTGATGAATTCAAATAAGTAATTAGTTCTGTTCATTATTATCAAATACCCAGCAACTGCCATTTTCTTGTCTTTCTGATCAAGATCATATACTGTTCTCTGATTATTAGTATCTTCCTTTCCTTCCCCATTTCTCCACAAAATTGATGAGAAATTAGATTTTAAGAAAAATTTCCAATTTTAAGTAACAATATTAATATTTCGATTTGACCATAAGTATTTGAGAATGACAGGTTTGACACATTTGGACATTTAGATTTCACTGTTATAATTTCAGCCAATTTCTTTGAGTGGTTTTCAGTTTATGCATACAGAAACTGAATGCTTTATTCTAGCAAGTGAATTTCAGTCCATTTCATTTATAGTAAAATAAACTGTGTATTCCAATTAAACAGTAGAATTGATTTGCTTAGTGACTTAACCACTGTCCATATATAGAGGTGCTCAAGCCCAGGCAAGCACTCAAGAAACTGGATATGCCTGCATTATTATTATTAGCATTTCTGAGCAGGATCTGGATATCCCTTATATGTCTGTATTTTCAAATTGTTGTCACAAGGATAAATTACTAGCTAAAAATAATTCAAGGAATTTTATGAATCAAGTAAGCATGTCAGGTGCTCTATTTTCAATTATCCAAAGCTGGCAAAGCAGCTGTAGTTTTTGCAAAATATTGCATTCTGAAATTGGTTTGCTACTTGGTGTTGCTGCAATAGCCAATTCATTTTCCTTAGTATGTTAATGACATTTTACATTTGATAATTTAAGAACACTTGGTGTAATAATCACTGAAGGGAAAATGTGTACACTTGTTGGGGGAGGGTTACAGTTCTTTTATACTGAATTTAAAAAAAAAAAAAAAGTTAAAGAAAAAGACAGAAAAAAGCTATCTTCTTCCCAAACATTCCAAAGTAAATATTGGATTACGCTGTTAGAAATTGCTGTTTAAGAAGTTATTACATGATAATTCACCATTCTTTTCTCTCTGGCCCTCTACAGGGTTTTTTCATAGAGATATGAAGCCTGAAAACCTTCTCTGTATTGGACCAGAACTTGTGAAAATAGCAGATTTTGGTTTGGCTAGAGAACTAAGATCTCAGCCACCTTATACAGATTATGTTTCTACCAGGTGGTAAGTATAGTAAGAATTAATATCCTTGACTAGTTACCTTTCTATTCCATTTTAATTTACCTGTTTTTTCTTTCCGTCCTCATAGGTACCGTGCTCCTGAAGTTTTGCTAAGATCATCTATCTATAGTTCACCTATTGATATGTGGGCAGTTGGCAGCATAATGGCTGAACTATACACACTAAGACCTCTTTTCCCAGGCACAAGTGAAGTAGATGAAATCTTCAAAATTTGCCAAGTACTAGGGACTCCAAAGAAGGTGGGACTTCAAATACTCACACAGTTGTATTTTTGAAAAAGTTAAATAAAATTATTATCAAAATATTCTATGTTATCTCTCTTTCAGAAGATGCATATTAAATTATTGTTTTAGTTAAGTTTCCTGAAGACTTAAGGTTTTCTCAACTCTTGATTTCTTTTAAGGTTCCATTAAGGCATGTAATGCTAGTCTTTGGTTGTATATTAGCATCTGTTGTATATCATACCAATATATGTAGCCTGGCTCTCCTCTGATGAAAGCCAGATAAAATTGTTTAATTTAGTTATTTAAAGTTATGCATATTGGAAAGCAAATCAGAAGTTTCTTAGGATTTAATTTGCCACAGCCAACTTGCTTTCCCTTCCTGGAAGTGTAATTCCTCTATGCTGGCACCCAGAATTTGGAGCCTGGACCATAAATACGGCAAATAATGCTTTTCATATTTTTAAAACATGGAAGAAACATTTGGTCTCACACAGATGTCTCATTAATATTATCAGCAATAAGAAGTAAAGGAGGGAAAACGTAGGATTTTAAAATTCTTTCCAGTTATTTTCTGGATGGGCTAAATACTTTTTAAAAATACAAGGAAGGTTTGGGTAGTGCCTACAAAAAGTATGCAATTAATTTACTTAAGTTTAAAAGTTGTTTTAGCAAATGAATATATGAACATGCAAGAAAAGAATAAGCTTACCTTCAAAACTTTGAATAAACTGGTAAAAAGACCATATACTATTAAATATTTTTGGAGCGTAAGGTATGAAATGGCAGATGTGTATCAGTAATTTATGGGCACAAACAGAGATTGGTGAAATAACTGGCTGAACACATCCACCTAGATCTGAAAAACGTAAGGGTGGGACAGAAAAACATCAATTTCATTGGTGTTCTACTGATATAAAATGTAGTATAATTCTTGTTCAGTAAAAGGGCTGTTATCAATAGAAAAATAAGGAACAGAAAACTTATAACAGAAATAGATTAAGCTTAGCTGGGAACATGCAGAACTCGAAGTGGTGGGAAAACATCCAAGAGACCATCCTGAGAAACAGGTGCAGACTCGTGACAGAGCAGAGTGTAAAAGGTCAGGTGGAGAGTTATAGATGATATGTGGTGGAAGTGAAAATTGAGTCTAGAGGGCTAAGGGAAAATTGGTATCATGTGTAAAATAGTGCTTACCATGGCAGTTGTACGTAAGAAATAATGTGCAATATGAACAGTATTTTAAGACTTGAGTTCTCAAACACAGATCTGAAGGTTCTTCAGCAGATCACAAGTCTAGGATAGTAAGGAGAATATTTTGATGTATATCAAGAATATCTGTGAAAGAGAGCAACATACTAACTTGTGGAACATTTTCAGTGTACAGCATAAACAAGTTCTGGAAGTGCAGGGAGTTTTTCACTGTGTGTAGTAACAGAGCAGCAATGAGCTGACTGCTGTGTGGTTTTCTGTAACCTTACAAGTAGTTAGCAGAAGCAGATCATGGCTGTTTACAGTCTGTCCTTCCCTGACTAGGAAGCATATTGCTTGGGAAAGCAGGGAGCATTACCAGCTGTGTATTTCAGAGAGAACTGTAGCCTCCTCCAATGGTTAGAGACATAGTTAGTCAGCTATCTAAGATCAGGAAGCTGTAATTAGTTCCTTTATGCCCCTGTCATCTGCAGAGCAGACTTGGGAATTTTCTCTCCTTACCGCAATGCTAAAGCATTCTTTAGGGAGATCACTGTGTGAGAGGAGTACTTAAATATTAATATAGGGATTATCATGACAAATAATACATTTGTTACAAGTGAAGTACAGTTCTGCTTTCTAAAAAAACTCAGTGGTTAATTTAATAGGCTGATTCTGAAGATAGTTTGACAAGTAGTATTTTTTTCAGGCACTCATTTTCATTTATTCCATTATTCTGCAATAAGGAATTACAGGAATCATGCCCAGGAGCTATCATCATTCCAGTTTGCCTTCCTGTGTCCAAGTCCATAACACCCTACTAATGACTTCTGTGAATTTGGGTGTTTTAAATAGTGACAGACAACTGTTTTGTTTGATTTTATAAATGAAGTTGCTTAATTTATTTTATAAAGGAATTGCACCATTCAAGTACTGGCAGTGATGGTGCACTTGTAATATGTGAATTTAATGAAAAAACAGATCATGATCTGAATAAGAGATTGATGAAATGCATTTTCATTAGCTGAAGGTTGGCAATGACACTTTAAATAATTGCAAGTTAAAATTTTTTATAAATAGAAATTTATTTATAATTTTTGCTCTTGTACTGTTTTAACTCTATCCCTATTCTTCACCAACTCAACACACAGCCCTTGGTACTTCATTCTAAATTGCTCCTTTATCACTACTTCTAGCAGTCAGATTGTCACCAAATCCAGTAAAGAAGGGCAATGCAGCAGAAGAGGAAAGAGTCGTTCTCCATTAGTTTAAATGAAACAACTATTCTCTTAGGTGGAACAGGAAGTCACTTGAAGTCTTAGAATTTATTTTAACCAGATGTGGTTTATAATTATATTTGAGTTCTTTGATTACCATGGACTAACAGAGCTAAAGCTGTTGTACATAAAAAAGATGAGTAATAGTTAGCATAGTATCTCAAAACCAAATTCTATCACATCAATACAATTTGCCCTGTAGCAGTGTAATAAGCTTGGTGAATAGCAGAAAAGCACTGATATCATATATTGTCTTCAGTAAGGTTTCTGGTACTGTCCCTCATAACATTCTCATCAGCATATTTACATAAACAAACTGTGTGATAAGCAGTCTTGAAAGCCTTATTCAGGGAGTAAGCTTCACTGCTTCTCATTCAAAATGAAAGCTGGGTTGGATAGAACTCAAGCGGTTCTGCATCTGATGAAATTTAAAAATTGTATTGAAGGCCTTCTGATGGAAAAGATTTTACTTCTTGAGCTGGTAGATAGCTGGGAAGGACTGAGTGTATTAGAAGACAAGATTAGAATTTAGAGGGGTTTTTTATAATATTAGAGATGTAGCTTTATTGAAATTTCTTTAGTAGTGTGCAGAATGCTGCACATAGGCAATTCCACCTTTACCTACAGGAGAGCTTGAGAAGGACAACCATTGGAGACTGATACATTCACTGGTGTTGTAATAGTTGTAATGGAAAACAGGAATGCTTGTTTTCAACTATACAGGAAGGAGCCATGCAGACCAAGCATGACTCAAGCTGCATTAAATTTGATCTAAGACCTCAAAGATACTGTCTTAGTTCTTTTTTGGTACTCATTTTTCTTTCCTTTGAAACAGAGTGACTGGCCAGAAGGATACCACCTTGCTTCTGCCATGAATTTTCGTTTCCCACAATGTGTCCCAATAAGCCTAAAAGCTCTCATCCCGAATGCAAGCAATGAAGCAATACAGCTAATGAGTGATACGCTGAACTGGAATCCAAAGAAGAGACCTACAGCAAGTCAGGTCTGAGCACATGAACAATTAAGTATAAGACTGAATTTTCTTGCCTTGTTAAACAATTGTAGATACAGAAACTAATTAGTTATCATAATACTGATGGCCACAGAAACATCTCCTCATTTTGAACACTTTGATGGGAATGAGACTGAGAAGTGAAGATAGAAAGTTCTAAACCTGACTCAGCAGACATCATAAGCTCTTTAGTTGTTTCTGCAAATGTTGTCTTCTGTATTGGCATATTTTGAAACTCTCTCTGTATAGGATAGCTAAAAATCTGAGCTGCAAGTTCCCTCAGTTGTGGCTATGAGTCACTTTTGCCACCTTCTTTTTCCTCCTCATGTGTACAAAGAGGGATATTGAGGAGTAAGCTTTGCTTTTGGTGAAGCTGCAGATGGAATGCAGTATGGTACGAAAGAGCTGCACTGTAAACTGTACTAAGTGCTAAGGAAAGAACTTTGTGAAGAACATACCAATAGGTCACAAAGGTCACATTTTTTTCTCCAAGTTAATTTTTAAAAAAAAATATTTCAGGTATTAAAGATGGTTACATTCTATGGATTTTTTTTATTCATACCTAATGGAATCCTACATAGATGGTATAAAAGAGGAATACAATTGGGAAAGAAAGGACATCTTACAGGTTATCCTAGGTGGATGTAATGTAAGTGATTCAGAAGCAGTTAAGCAGATGGTACCAAGTAGAGCAATCATTTCTCTCCACTTTATAAAGCATCTCTTTTGTACAGTCAGTGAGACCTACCTGTAGTCCAGTACTATGTAGCTCTACACAAAATACTTTATGGTGCTTTATAAAAGCAAATAATGAGCTTTTACACAAGTGACTTATCAAGGAAGCAGCTGCAGCAGTTGTCTAATCCACAGTCAAAAGGAAGAGTTTAATGCATATACATGGCAATGTGTACAAAGACAGCAATTCTTGAGTGCAGCTGAGGCAAAACATCTCTGTGGGAACTAACAAAGAGTAGCAGAGTGTGTTGTTTTGACATAGGAGCTGTGTTACTAAGGTATGTCCATGCTGTGCATCTAGTGGTGGGCATGAAAAGATCAGAGGAAAAGGATGAAATGCATGTCTGGCTGAAGACAGACACTGTAGTTTCCTAATAAACATCACAAAGGCACAGCAAGCATGGTGAGTGTATTTAAAGCAAAACAAAAGCAGGGAAAGCTGGTGATAAGAAAAATTAGGGAGAAACTTTGCTCGTTAATATTCTCTAATTGTAAAATCTGTACATGGCGATCATCTCACCTCTGGATTTTAGTTGGATTTTTGTTCGTTTGTTTGTGTTTCATTAAAAAAAACCCAAGCTGTTCATTGAGTTGCCAAAACATAATCAGCAATGGAAACATGTAATAAAGCATGTGGCTAAAGGACTACTTGTTTTAAAATTGAAATTTGTTATTGCATGAATATAGAACGGTGTTGAATGTAAAATGCACCTCAAAATACTAGACTCCACAAAACCTAGCAGTAAAGGAGGGAAAGAAAGGACATGACTTGTAGCATGTACAAATTGATTAGTCTTACTAAATTATATGATGGAAAGAGATTGAAATACAGAAGTGCCAGGTATCAATGCACACTGTTTGTGTATGATCTTATTATGCATCTGTCTTGCATCTATGCTGTAAAGCTTGCTTAAATATTTCAGAAACCTGCTTAGGAACTTGATGAGGTTACCAAAGTCAACTTTTTGAAGTAAAATGGGTGTATCTTCTTCTGCAGGCTTTGAAGTACCCTTACTTTCAAGTTGGCCAAATTTTAGGACCTCCTCCTCAGTATCTGGAGAAGCAGACTCCGACTAAACCAGTTCAGCCAACAGAGCCAAAACCAGCTTTACCAAAACTGGAAGCTACATCCAAGCCAGAACCTCTGTCTTCACCTGATTTACCCGGCAAAACAGAGCCACAGCCTTTGCCAAAGCTTAACCACCAGCCTCTCCAGCAAATTCAGTTGCCTCAGAATACAGCTAACTACCAAGTACCAAAACAGCAGCAGCCTCAGGCACAACCATTTTTTCCACTTGTCAATAAAAACTCATCGCCAGTAAGTTGTCTTTAATAAATATTTATATTATTTTATTAAAATCTATACTAACCCAGGCGATACCTTGAAAATTGTCATATGTCTTATTAGAGGAAATACAGATAGATAATTAGGGATTAATTGAGGATATAACAGACTGCTTATTAAAGTTTAGCAGCAAGTCAGAAGAATAGACTGTTTGTAGCAACAACAGACTGTAGCAACACTGTATGTTGATTTAGAATAGCCCTTACAGATGTGCTTATGCAGGAATGTAGTTGCAGCAGCTATCACTTATTGACCTTTGATAATATAATATAATATTTACAATACTGTCTAGATACACAGAGAAGTGGAAAGGGAGAATTTCACTTGCCTATTGCAGGAAAATACCCAAGAAGGTTCATCCAGTTGCTAACCTTGTAAAAATTTAACAATTAAGACTTCTAGTAAGATGAATAGTAAAAAGCTTTGGTTTCTAATCTTCATTTCACTTTTGTCTTGTACTCACCGAACTGCAATATAAAGTATGTTAGAAATAATATTTATTTAGAAAATACCAGGAAGTTAACTATAGTCAGATTAAAAGATAGTTGTAAAATTGAGTAATTTCATTTGAAGAGAATGTTAAAGAAAGGCATGGCCATCTTATTCTATTTGCTGTGTTTACTTTGAGGCTAGAGCAGTGTTCTGCACCACTGTACTCTACTCCTTGACAGTTCATCTACCACTGTTGAGAACACAAATTCAGCAAGACACTGCTAGTAGAGGCTGAACACTGAACTGGGTCTATTTGCAAAATAGAATGTTAACCTCACTACTTCAGGTAGATTTGAGCAGCATAAGGATGACAGTCCAAAAGAACTACACTTAAAATACATACTGGCATTACTGTTTAGTTTTGTGCTTAAAATCATCCTGAGACTATAGCCAAAACAGGCACAACACAATGGGGAAAATTCCATCAAAGTTCTTAAGCAGTTGAAAGGAAGTGAACTAGATATAAAATATAAAAGGTTAGAATTTAATTAAAGTGGAGTTTTTTTCCTATTTAAAATAGAAACAAGCAGGTGGTGGCTCTCAGAACAGTGCACTGGGTCCTAAAAGCTGCAGAAGACGATGGGGTCAGACTTTGGTAAAGGCTGTGGATAGCTGGGATGACATGGATGACCCAGAGTTTGGAATATCATGTTCAAAGAAGCCTAGCATTGCACTGCTAAAAGAAAGGAAAACCAAGGAGTTTCTTTTTAGGTAAGTTCTACAATTATAAAATCAAAATTTCTTTTGATTTCCAGTAGATTTATAGATTGATTAAGTCTGCTGAAATTCAAGTCACCAAAATTCTGCAAGAAAGCAAAGAGCTGAAGGAGCAGACCAGCTTCAGGTGTGGTGTTGATATTGTGCTAGTAGTATCTAAACAGATTCAGATTTGTTTTCAGGCACTGTATAGTTTAGGTACTTGTTGTGTTACTAAGAAACTGTCTTATTAAAATCAGACATACTAACCTAATTTCCTTTGTTGGTTAAGTTTGGTATTAAGTTGTGCCAGTTATCCACATTTGCTTTTTATTCTGTAGTGTTGGCTACACGTTTTGCTTCAAAGTCCCAGCTCAAAATCTCATGAGTTATTAGGTTTGGCTGTTACTTTGTGGCAATAAACTCTACTAATGGAAGTAGCATAGTGAAGAGCACAGTGCTATTAAGTCTAAGGTCAGCCCTGAAGTCGGAGTTGTTGGTCACATTCTTTGAATGTCTTTTTCAGTGTGCCAGAACCAAAAGCTTCATGCTGTATCCAGCCAGGAGGTGAAAATAAGGTTTTGATGAGAAATGATTCTGTAAGATCAAATACATCAGCAAAACAGTACTATCTAAGACAATCAAGATATCTACCTGGTAAGAGTACAAGTCAATACATATAGGAAATACAAGCTATGAACAATCTACATACAGTGCATTTAATCTTTAGATTTCTCACTGGATAATTTTGATATTCACAACCAGGCTAAATTTTCAAGTTTTGGACTAAATGCCTTTCCAAGAAAATATCTATCACAGCTGATGCAGAATTTCCTGTCTCTGTGTGCTGGTTTGGGCTGAAATAGGGTTAACTTTCTTCACAGTGGCTAGTATGGGGCTATGTTTGGGGATTGTGCTGAACACAGGGTTGATAATGCAGATGTTTTTTTCTACTGTGTAATCCCATTAACTTTTGTAATGATTGTAACATGCTGAAGTAACAAGAACCTGTTTGTCCTCCTTTTAACTTAACCCTTGAAGAAATAGTTTATTTTCAGCCTTGAGAACCCTACATTTTGATAGGTAGTTTTAATCTCTGCTAATTTTTTGAGACACAGAAATAGCAATAATGAGATTATGGTTTTATAGAAACCAAGTAACTGTATTAAAAGACTTTTAAAAGTTCTCTTGAAAGCATGAAGAAAATTATTCTTAAATCAATGTCTCTAGTTTTCATGGTTTGGCTTAAAAATCTAACTTTATCAATGGACATTGTTAATTTACATTAATGGTGTTTACATTGTGCCACAGATAATTCAGTGTTTTTTACTGTTCTAGAAATGTCCTTTTTAATCAGTTGAATTATGTTTGAAAATTGATTTCTATAACATTCTGCATAATTTGTTTCCTAAGGTGTAAACCCAAAGAGTGTCTCTTTAGCAACAGTCAGTAAAGAAGGATCACAAGGAACCTGGAACAACCAGTTGTTTACTAAACCGCTGGCACATACTGGAGGAGGATTGACTTTCAGCAGAAATATTACAGGTGAAAGAGTAATTGAAAATGGTCACATTATATCTCATCGTACTTTATTTAATTATTTTAAGATAATCTGGTTGAACTTCTGTGGTCAAGCTTAGCTTCTAGGCACTTTTTCTTCTCTTGTTTTAATGACAGACTCTTAAAATAAAAACTTTCACGTATAAAACTATGTATTTTGCTTTCACTGCATAAAGGAAGTACAGAGCAGCCTCTGAAATAAAGTTCTGTCAAGATAATCCTCTTAGACCCTTATTTTACTGTGCTAATTCAAGCAAATAGCTTGACCTTATTACTGCCTGCACAATGTGCCATGGAACACTATGAAACAGTGATCTCACCTATGAAAACATAATGGTGGGTGGTGTGCTCATGTAACAAAAGTGCTGTCTAATATTCTAAGCATGTCTTTTAGTGGTTTTGTAGCTTTGTCCTAAATACTTTGCCACATGAAGAGTCCCCTTATTTTCAGTAGGGAACTCTCTATAATGTTCTTTTGAAGAACACTATTATCAGCATTCTACAGAGTAAAGACTAAGACTAGTTTAAGACCTTATCTAAGATTTCACTAAGTATCAGACTCCAGACTAAAATCCATCTTCTCACCACCAAGCCCTATACTTTAAGTACATTGTCCTGTTACCCTGATATGGAAGGTTACCTTGTTAGCAACTCTGCAGCCATTGTCCAGCTAGGAGGAGTCACTCTCAAATACTTTAACACAAATAAACCACCCAGCCTTACATGCTTGTACAGAAAGAACTTCAGAAGGTTTGTTTACATGCAGATCGTGCACCCCTTCTTAATAGCTATTCTGCAGTGTCAACAAATCTGATTTTCCCCTCTGAAAGTCAGGGGAGCTGAAGTTGTTCGTCTGAATTAATGTGCAGGATTTTATAAAGTGGAAAAATAACAGCACCTACAAGAATTTTTTATGGTATAGAAGAGATTTTTTAAAGTAATCATCATGTGCACCCTTTTGTTTTCTGAGATATAATATCCATGTGCTTCAGAATTAATGAATATATTCATAAAATAATCTTGCAAGGGAATTGAGCACAAAAAGGCAAAGAGCTGCTTCCAAAAGTATGCATCGTGAGCAAGATATCTACTTACTGAACTGCACTGAAAATAAAATTAAGGTGAATGCTAATGGTAGAAAACCTGCTTTTGTCTTACTACCAAAACTTTATAGAAAAAAAACCAAAAATAGGTTAGTTTTGTATGTTTGAAAATGCTTGGTATTATTTCCATCAGTATCTTAAATTGAATGTGATGTTTCGTACACTGGGGAGACAGCAATGTTTAAGACAGACACACATGAAACCAGGATAGCTGGATCACAGAAACCGAACACACGTAAATTATGTATGTTTTTTTTCATATTGACAATCTGAAAGTTGACACTGTGCTGTGTTTAAATAACTTAGTGCTTAAACTTGTGATTTATGTGTCTGTGTGACTGATATGTGATTGCATTGTTGGTAAATCATATTTTTATTCCATTATTAGAAGGACCTTGTAAAGTAAATAGTTGAGAATAGTATTTCCTGCTTATGAAAAGAAGAATGAGACATTATAGTTTCAAACATGTCAGATACTCGTTCTTTCTTGCTTTTTCCTCCTCTCATTTCTTTGACATCACCTTACTGTGTTCCTTACACCCTTTTTCTAAAGTTCTGTCTTTCCATCTTTTTCTTCCTTTCATTTTCCTTGCCTGCAGATGAGAACTTAATTATACCTATTGAAAAACTATCATGCAAAGAAAGGTTGAATGAAAAATTAGAGGATCCAAAAGGTAATTTATAGCAATTATAGCATGGTTCTTTGTACATCTCCTATTTGTGTTTTAAAGTTTATTGAAAATTTTGCATTTATAATGCAGGTTCCTGATTATATACTTCATTTTCAGTTGCAATCTGTTTTGTCGAACCTTGCTCTCTTCATTGTGACTTCTTCTGGATTCTTGGCACTTACTGCACGTTACCAGACAGAGAATATTTTATTATCCTAATTCTAATCCTCAGCAGGTCACTGCACTGTTGCTGGATAATGGTGAAGAAGCAATCCTAAAGCAGCATGTGCTTCTCTCCTGAAGGACTTCTTGTTCATGGCAGCACTCGGGACTTACACCATTGTCTGCATTCTGATTCTCTACCTGTTACAGTGACTTTATGACACCGTGGTTGCACAGATTTTGGCAGAATTACCTTAGAGTAAGAGGGTGGAAACTCAGGTTTCCAGACAGCATAGTTTGTGTCTAAACACACTGTTGGCTGTGAGCATTGTAAAGCTGCTGGAATGTTTGACCTCTCCTCTAGTTCCAGGGCCCTTTGGTGTGTACAGCCTGTGTGATAGGTCTCATTGCAACTATTTGTAGGCTTTTTTGAACTCCCTACCCAGCTCAAACAATTCAGGGACTTTATTCTTTATGAAGAATCAGGTGCGTTTTGTTTGAGGTAGGGGGTGTGGCCTGGGCCATGCTTAAACCTGTTGACACCCTGGCAATGAGTGTTTGCTTATACACCTGCTGCCAGACCTCCTGGATGCATCGTGGATGAATATTCTATACCAACAACCTCTTCTTTTGTACAACAGTAGTCAGAGGTAAGGAACTGTGCTTTTATGTAGGCTATTTTTTATTTGTAGCTATTTTGTTATTTTATATTGAACTTTTTTCCTCCTTCCCTTGTGCTCATCCAACAAAAGATCACTCCTCCAGACCTCTGTTTCACCCAGACTGTCCATCTTGGCTGCACTCTTTCATTTCCTACAGAAGGATTCATAAAGCTCATTGGACATCAAGAGGTAAGGAGAACCAAAAAAAACCGATTGAGCAATTTGTGATAACTAAGCAGCTTTGCTGAGCCATAGATAAGAAGCAGACAGAAGTAGTCTTTTTGAGGTTGTATTAACTGAGGCAGATCTGTCATGTTCTTATTTTCAAACCTCAGAATTTTAAGGAAGGCTACTGAGCTGTCAAGGCTATGAACCATTCCCAATAATTAGGAACTGGGGGAATAAGAAAATGTGTGTATGTGCACAGACCAGTGAACAAACCACTAAAACTGTGTTGTTTTGGTTTTCAGGCAAAAAGAAAGAACAACTTGAACACTGCAAGAAAGTTAAATGTTATTGGAATACTTCATTAAAAGTTGTATTTTTCACCAGTTGTATTATTGCATCATTCTTTACTGTGCCAGACATTGGCATCAACTGGATAGAGGAAAGCCACGTGGAGACCCAACCATTTGCAGAACTGATAAAGTGACAGTTTGGGGAGACTTGCCAAACTGAGTTAGCTGAATGCTTTTTGCTAGTACTTCTGAATAGGGAGGTATGCAATGACCCAATGCAGCTGTTATTAGCTGATGATAACTTCTGGAGTTTGTAGATGACCAATTTTTCAGCTTATAGATCCACTGCTCTGAGAACTTAAATTATCACAGAGAACTGGGAGCATTTGTGTGAAGAGGAACATTTTGGACTGCATTAAGGCCACAGATTTAGGAGACAGAAAAACTGTCAAATCAGATATTGTGTGTTTTACTGCAATACCATTGAAACTATGATGAATACGCTCACACTTGATAAAGGTCAAAGTAAACCAGTGTGTATGGCTTTGTACCTCACAAATTCAATACTACTGAACACATACCCACACCATCAGAGAAAAGCATTTCTCTCTGGACATTGTGCCAGCACAGTCTTAACACTGTCCCAAGTGATGACAGACATGGAGATGGTAAAATATTTTCTTGGAGCAGGGAGTCTTAAGAATTGTAACAGATCCCCCTGCCACTGGATGCTAATTTGAGTACTGATTTTGTGTGTACATGCACAGTGCTTCTCAGCTTCTAAGAGAGGATGGTTATGGAACCTTCCCAAGGTGGCACTGCTTTAAAGAAAGATCTGGACCAAACTTGGCACCATAGAATTATGACCAGGGTTAAAGAAAGAGGATCGTTGGGTCTGAAATTTATAGCAGGCCTTTTAACTCTGGAACTGGCAAAGTCAGCTTCAAGTGGTGCATCACTTCCCACAAGAAAAGTTGGGTTCCATTCTTTTAGATAGATTTAGGCCAAACATGTTGAGCACAAGAGTAGTGCTGAGCACTAGTTTTTAAATATTGAACTACTTAAACAACCTTCCAGTAAAGCAAGTAGCTGTAGGCAAAAGGTAAGAGTCTGCCTTTCTCTAAAACTTGGTATAAACCTTTTTATGTGGTCTACGTTTAATGAAAGTACTAATGAAATGTTCATCCTGCTCTGTTGTCTTTTTTCCAGCAGAATTCCTGCTTGCAAGTCTGCTAAGGGCTGTAAAGGGTACAACTAATATACTAAGCAAAGAATGAATATATACTTTTTTCAAGAGATGAGCACTAGGGACTTTTTAAAGAACACTTGTACTTGGTACTCCTGTGGTACTGCAAATATATTTTCAAGTGACTATAAAAAGCAGGCAAGGTTTTCTGAATGCAACTGAAAATTGTAAAATTCTGTTATGTCCACAGGAAATTCTGGCTTTGTAAGCAGTGCTGCTTACAACCCATCAGGAATATGTGCCCCTTCCTTCCATAAAAAAGAAGTTGGATCAGCTGGACAACGGATACAGCTAGCACCTCTTGGTCCACCTGTATCAGGTAAGAAAATGTCCTTTTACCATAGATAACCAACGCAAATAGAAATGTTGATTTTCCATGCTTCCTAAGAAATTTATTAGCCCTTAGTAAAGTTTTCCTCGTGTTTTTAAAATAAAATTGTAAGGCATAAATTGTTCTTAACATAAGTGAATTTAATGTAGGTGCCCAGAGGCAATCCTGATAGCTAGAGAAACTATTGCTACTAATATTTGTTTGGTAAAAGAGAAAATAATTCCAATTTGAATTCTAGCCGGTTTGGACCATTTGCTAAAGTACTGTTCATTAGTGGTGAAGGGTTAAGCAGAATATGTAAAATGTGTAACTCCATAACAGTTGTGCAGATTGGGCTCCATTCATCTGTTAAAAACAGTGTGAAATCTGTTCTGGATGTAACTGTTACCTTGGATCCTCTACAGTATGGACAACATTCTGAGCACTTTCTTTGGTATGATTTCAACTCAGAGAAGATGAACATAAATGCTCAAGATGCAGGAGAAACTGGTTTGTGAATAAGATTTAGAGCCATTGTCCAAACCCAGCAGCACGAGTTACTTCAGAGGAGATAGCAAGGCCCTAAACTAATGGTGAATTGTTTAGCCAATGGACCTATGGCAGACCAATCTGATGTGGTCCTGCTTAATAAGGCTGTTTTTTTGGTGATGTGCTTTTTTGAGTTACCGGTTCTCCTCAGGAACTTGCAAGTGAAGTCAGAGAAGCAAAGAGGGAGGGAGGGAGGGAAGGAAGGAGATGGCACACATATTTAAGATACCCTTAAATGTATGCATATTCTGTGTCTGAGTTGATCAGAAGCCCATCAGGGAAGGCTGGAGCTGCACTTCACTATCTTATCAACTCACTGCTGAAACACAGCAGTGAGAGTTTTGATTTGTCACAGTGCATGGATCAAGAAGTTCACAGGAGGACAAAATCTGCAACTATCTCTAGACTGCTGTGAATAGTGCGAAAGAAAAGGAATTATATACGGTGTTCCAAAGGGAAATAAATTCCCTGTTAATCTGTAATTAGAAATGGAGAATGTCTAGTAAAAGTCAGAAAGGCTGGCAGATGGAGGTCAATTAAGAGACTCTTCCATGTCCTAGAGAAAAGCAAGAATCCTATTGCTTAAACCCCTCATATTTAGCCTAAACTGCAGATTTGCATGGGAAGAGAGATAAGGATGAAGCAAATGGCAGGTTTTATCTCCTAGCTGTCCATATTTGAACATTGCTTTGTATTATCCAAACTAAAATAAGTTATGCTCTGAATTGGTTTTGGTCTCTCAATTTGTTAAGGTTTTAATGCCATAATTTAAATAATTCAATATAGTATAAAAGATTAGTTTTTCTGTGGAAAATGCCAGGACCCAGGAAAGTCAAGGCCTTCAAGATGGTGTAGGCTGGAATCATACTTGCTGATGAAAGATAGGGAATGCCAGCCAACAACAAAAAGGAACAGTATTAGTTTTCAAAGAGGTGGAGACATGACTCTCAGTTTCAGTACTTTGATGTTCCTTCTTTTTAAATGTCTTGATCTTTACCTGTTCCTTAATGCGTTCAATCCACTGTTGAAAAATACTGCCAAAAAATAGGTGGTTTTCCGTAAGAAACAGAATGTTACATAGGCACCAACACCTCATTAATATTCAATTTTTTTAAGAGTATCAGTAATACATAATAAAAGAAGACTAAACTACAACAGTAGGAATGGAAAGGACAGAATCTAGTCTAGGAATGCTAAGGAAACCATGGTAAGGTGTAGCAGGAATCTGGATAAGAGATGTCCCAAATGACTGACCTTAAAGGACTGGGAAAATGGCACAATCAGTCATGAACATGATGAAATTTCAGTCCCTGTGACAGGGCAGTTACTTTAATCACACAAAGCTTGAGGAAGGGGTAACTACCTGAAATGCAAAAAGGGGAAATCTGAGTAGTAAGGCCAGGAATACAGTAGTGCAGTACTGCTAGTGCCTGAGATCAGGTGGATGCCAGTATTAAGGGATAGAAAGAACTTCAGACTTGGAATAGATCCTATGCAATCAATGGAGGAATGGGGAGTGAAGCAAAGAGGACTCGTCACCAGGTACAACAGGAGTTATGAGCTAAGAAGAAGAGGAATAAAAGGCATAAAATCTCAAAAGAAATGAGGGTCTCTGGAAGCTGTCCTTCATTCTAAGCTGTTTGGGTCTTAATAATTTCAGCAACATTATAATTACATATTTTTTAAAATATTTGTGATAGAAGACAGAACACTTTCATCCTGTAGCAGTTTTGTAATAGGAGATACAGAGTTGTAGGCATACGCGTCAGTTTTTCCACGGAATTTCAGTGGAGATGAAATCAGTGTTTTCTCAAGACATTGCTGCTAAACAAGTATCCAGTAGGTGAGAATTAATAAGACACATGAACTATAGGAAACATTAGCCTTATCTGAAAACAGGTATAGACTGCATGTTCTCAGGCACATGGTGTGATTCTTGGGGTTGTCCTGTGCAAGGCTAGGAGCTGGACTCAATGATCCCAGTGAGTCCCTTCCAACTCAGGATGTTTTATGACTTCTATGACACATAAGAGACCAAAGCATCCTGCTACATTAGCATCCTTGAGTACCACACGTCATCTTTAAACTCTCATTCTTTTCTCTGTAAAGAGGTAAAATACCTTTTTAGTCATAATTAATTCTGAGTTCTTGTTTCTTTCAGATTATTCCTGGAAAACCAAAGCTGCTCGTGTTGCATTACCGGGTCCTGCTTTCAATTCAGCACCAAAAAACATGAGTATCTTAAGTCGCTCACCAACAATTCAGCCAGTACATGGAAGAACAGACTGGGTGGCCAAGTATGGTGGAAACAGATAGAAAATGCCATCCTGTACAGCTGTTATGTGCACTGTGTTCAGTTCTCCTGCACTTGGAAACCTGAAATGCCTATTTGCTCTAACTTCTCCTAAGACTATGCAATAGCAAAGAAGTAAAAAAGACCTTGTGTTCCTGTTACCTGTAGAAAACATATAATACCACGTAAAGCACTGGCTATAAAGTAGGATGAAATGATGTGTTGTATAACACATATTGCCAAAACTACTGAGAAGTGGATTTCACTCAACATTTTTTCTATAGATGGATCTCCTATCCTTGTACATCTGTTATAGTTGTTCATCCAGTGCAACATCTGCTGTTGGTATATGCTTGAAGCACAAAAGCAGCTAGGCTTCCAGGTGTTAGGCTGGTTCCTTAGCAGGAGGATGAGTGAAAGCATAGATCCAGCTTTGTGAAGAGTACCACACTCTCCTACAAGCATTACAGAACTCACTTGTAACTAAGAGTTACTCAGGGTCTTTAAGGTGCAAATATTCATGTAGCAATGCGAATTTAAATTCTTGTAGTAGGACATAAGCAATCCACTGATAGATACTACACAAGGAAACTCTAAACCCTAGGCTGATATATGGCTATTGAATGATGCAACAATATTGGAAAATAGCTAAACAAGTACTGAATGCTGGACTTACCTCACCAAGCTGTGAAGTGAAGTGAAGCCTAAAAACTGGATTCTGCTGTTATAATTAACCTACGGCCATTTTTGGTCAAAGATCTGGAGAGACTTATCTCTGTCCTGTAAAGGGAGTGTCACGGTGACCTTTTAATCACTGCAGTCTGTCTGTCATTTTAAGGGTGTATTAGCCAAAACTGCATAAATTATCAGTAAATTCCTGTTTCTACATGTCTTTGTTGGGTGATCAAACTGAGCTACAGAAGCTGCATAAGTGACGATATAGGACTGTTCTTCCAAGGTACCTGAAAGTACACACAAACTTCAATAATTCATTACATCACTGTTTATATGCTCATTCAGTACTTTCCCCAGCTTCTATGCTAAGTTTTATAATAATATCATGCAAAGGACTTTGCAGTGTACAATAAACTGGTTTTTAGAATGTTGAGCTAGGCTACTTCTGTTAGCAATTGCATTTAGAACAGATGCTTTAGCCTTAGTAGTTACATTAAACCTGCCATTTTAAAGTAAAAACTAAGTATGTTCTTTAAAGATGTAACACTTTTAATGATTACTTTAAGCACTGTAAAAAGGAAATGTATTTGTACGGCTTTTATAAATGGATATTAAAATATAAATTCCTGTTGTTGACCTAATGTGTCATAATATATGGGTTACATTAACTTCCTGGAAAGCAATTTAACCTAAACCAGTTGTATCAAAAAGTCTAATATTTTGTTATGAAAATTGCACCTAAATAAAATGCCTCTTTGACTGTAGGAACTATACAGAGATTGGGATATCTGGTTAGCAATGCACTAGACTGTAGTTGAGTTGCCATTGGTCTAAGATTAAGTATATATCCTTCCCTTAGTATTAACAGATATCCCTATGCTATTTAAATGCATTTTAATTTATCTGTAGAATACATCTGTAACTTGGTATGGCAGTGAAGGACAACCTCAGACTGTTTGTAGCAGGCATAAAAGCAATGGGTTTATAATTAAAAAAACCCCAAGATAACATCTCTAATACAAGATGCAAATTACTTAGTTAAAATCACAGCCTAGTCAAGGAATTAACTAGTCCATAGCTCACATGTCTATAGGTCACCTAGAGCAGAAAAGTAAACAGATACTATTTATGGCACTAAATATGGCTAGAGGAAACATGCTGTCCTTACTGTATGGTAATGAATCTTGGAAGGGCTTTGATATAACCATAACAGCCTTTACTTGTCCATAACCAAAGCGTGACAAGTGTTAAGAAATTCTTCCTGAAAACAGCTAGAAAGATAAAAGGCTAAAAGGCTTTGTACAGTCATTTTAACTCTGATTTGTTGGTACACACTGGACTGTTAGTGCAAGAATATAATCTAATGCTTAAAAAAATCTAGTATATGCTAATAAAGTTTCAAGGGCATAAAAAGTATGTAAGGCTCAAGTTTTTCTCTCATCCCTTTGTATTAATGCCATTTCTTCTGAACATGAAAAGTGGTAACAAGTTCTACCAGCAGTTCTCAATTCAAGATGCTACTTTCCAAAGCTCATGAAAGAGCAGCGAAGCCTTAACACTTTAGTCTAAGAGTTTAAAAGCTTATCAGTCCAATTCTCTGCTTTCTATTGTCTTTGTTCCATTGAAGACAACTGCAGCTCAAATTTGCAAGTTACCTGATTTGAGATCAGCATTATACAATCAGAAAAGTGCTGGATCATGGCTGTTCTGTTTATTGCAGGAGATGCATTTATGTTTGCATCTTATACAGAAGAAAACTGCTTCAACAGCAGTATGAAGAGACAAATAACCTATAAAGTAGTTTAAAGAGAAGTGCCTTAAATGCTAATGTCTGGTTTACTAACTTTTTCAAATTAGAGCAAAGACATTGAGACACCTGCCCTCCAATGCTGGGATTAGGGGCTTGATGATATATAAACAAACCATCTACTATCCTGCACCCTCCTTGTTTCTATGCACGGAGGTAAGAGAGAAATGTAAGTACAGGTGAACACCTGAAGCTGAACTCTGCAGGATGATGAATAAGGGCTCTAAGAAGGTGCTCTGAGTATAGTTCCCCTTTTAGATCTCACTGCCTGTGCTCAAACCAGCTTTTACCCAAATTGTTAGGCCTGGGACCAGGCTGCTGAGACCCTCTGCTGCAGCAGTGCCCATTCCTGGCCATGTCCCTGTGGATCTGGAACCCAATCTGATTGACGTGTCATCCTGGCTTGACCTCAGCCCTGCCTCATCACTGTGACTTGCCTGGCAAATCCCTGCACTGCTGACAGACCATGGCTATGGCCACTGGCCCAGCTCTGCACCTCCTGCTCAGGGCAGCACAAGGTCACTAGCCTGCCTGTTTTGCTCTGACAAGGAAAGAAGGAAGGAAAATCACAGGATGTGACCCTCCTGCAAAGGTACTAGCCTGATACTTAATTCTGAGTGAGTCCAGTCTCACCAATCTAATGGGTCAACCCTGCTGCTTCCATCTCTCTCAGTACCAGCCACTAAAGAAGACTGAGGAAATCAAAGCTCAGATCTCTGCAGAAAGGGACGTAAGTTAAATGAGACCAGAAAAGGTATACATTACCATCCATGTGTGGCTTCCAGGATTATTTCTCTGGGGCAGGTTTATATTTAGAATGATTTCAGGCATCAAGGCAATCAAGTGAGGACAAAGGCTGATCAAATGAGCCCTTCAGTCTTTAAATAAACTTTCATACAGCATTTTCCAAATCTAAAATAGATGATTCCCTCATCTTGTCTGTATATGTGGTCTGTATGTCTTTGTTCTCTACTTGTCTGCATACGTGGTCTGTATGCCTTTGTTCTCTACACCTTCCCCCAGTCCAGATTTTTATATTCCCAAGTTACTAGACTCAGGGAATAGAACAGAGATTACGTATACAATTCATGTTTGCAAATATACCCAGACACCCTGCAGGAAAGGCACCAAACTCTTTCAATCCAGATAAATGATTAAAGACAAATGTTTGTAATAATAATTTGTTGGTTTATTTAAAATAACATTTACATAAAGCTATGCCTGCAATTCAGCATTACCTAATAGAGCATATTTTAGATTTGTGAGTAATAACCTGTAAAAGTGTAATGAATGACATATAGCTGGATACTTCTGCTTGCAAGTAAGTGCAAGTAATGGGTTTGCATTCATTGCATTACAGTAGAACCTTGACAGCCTGCTCTGTGATTGTGTTTTGTGGGACCAGTGCTTGGAGAGCACAGTCCCTGACTGACAAACACTGTGACCAGATAAATGGGCAAGGAAAGGGAGATGTAACATAATAATCATGTTTATTATACTAATTACTAGTGACAAATTGGCAACTCCTCTCCCCTTGTTCTAAAGGTATGCATGATTTTAGAAGGACAAATCAAGATATACATTTAAGCTTCAATCCTGCAACTGCCTGAATGCAAATATCAAAAGGTCTTTGCCTACAGTAAGATGCAGGACCAGAAAGTAAACTAATGCTATACTCTTATTTTCTTGCTTCATAGTGCAGAAAATGTTAAGACAAATACCATTTTAGAAGACCTAACAAGAGCTATGTCTGTCCTTTAAAGACACAACTCACGTGTGTTAGGATATGAAAAATACGACGCACAGGTAGCAGTGCCTTTTCTACTTCTGTGCAGCACATTTAGGCTGTCGCATTTTCTTCTCAATTGCATATCTTCAAGTGATTTGATTCAGATTTATGGCCCAAGAGGCTTTTCCATCATCTGCAATCCGAGCCGTCCAACCATCAGTAAACTGTTGAACAGAATAGTTGTTATAAAAAGGAGGGGATGGAGGAAAAAATCCCATAAAGAACAAGTAGGAAGAAAACATTGACATGATTTCATTTAGTGGAATTTAGCTGGATTTAATTCTTCACAGAATTTACCATGTAACATTTTAAAACCAATATAATCCACAAATAAGTTCAATAAAATCCTTATTCAATAATACAGACAAGGACAAAAGACAAGTGATTACCTGGCACCAGCAATTATCCCAGGCATTGCTTTTTTTGTGTTGTAAAATCTCATTCCCATAACAGTAGACAAGGTTCCAGATGCCACTGTTGAAAAGAAGCTAACTCAGAATCATTTTACACAGAAATACCAGCACAGCACTGCCACACTTGGACATCGAGTAGTGCTAACCAAAGACCTACATGTACAGACAGCAACACTTCCCTCCGTATGCCAACAATTTACTTGATTTTCTCAAACAGTAAAGCTGTTGTCACAAGCTTCTCAGCAGCTTGTGCTCCACTGCTCAGTACAAGCAAGTAGTTCCCATCAAGGTTAAGACCACTGTCTGATCACCTACAACCTCCAGTCCTCTGGACAGATCTCTAACTCTGCCTC